GCCACGTGACCGCGGGCCCCGGCGCCCGCAGGGTCACGTGATCCCCTGGGCGGCTCACAGATGCCCGGCGCTTGTCCGCTGGGCGAACTCAGCCTCCCACGCTGTGCGTGGCTCCGGCTCGCCCGCGCGCATCTTGCTCCCCGGAGACGGGCATGGCCGCCCTTCTCCCAGGACAAGGCGCTGCACTCGGAGACTGGAAGGAGCAGGTGCACAGCCGCCCGGCCGGAAGCGTGCCCGGGGTCCCCGCGGGACCGACCCAGGTGGAGCCCACGCGCCACACGTCCTCCCGGGCCCGGCGCGCGACGTCAGCGTGGCGCTGCCATGGGTGGGGCTTGGGGACGCCGGCGCCCGGGTGCCTGCGCTCCCTTCAGTAGGAGAGCCCGGCGGGCATCCACGTGCCAGCTGGTGAACCAGTCATCTTGGAGCTCAAAGCTGTGTTGGCCTCCTCCTCGGGAAACGAAGCAGCCCGCGGGCGAGGCACCTTAGCGGGTCGCAGCCGGCCGCGCGCAGCCCTGCACCTGAGATACGGGGGATCCCAGCGTGGCCCCGGTGGGTGCCCCACACTAGGCTTCTCCCAGGAACTACGGATGACAGAACTTAAGAGTAACTGGAAGCGCAGGTGTCCCCGTCCCCCTGGATTTAGAGAAGTTAACTCGCACTGTTTACTGCAACTTGTTGCGTCTGCCTGTGCGGCTCCTCCCACACGGGAAGGCGCTCAGAACGAGCCTGCTTGGTGCATCAGCTGCTTAACAGCTCAGCTCGTGGTGCTTGCTCGCTGGGCATGGGGTTTCTTTGGTGGTTTTTTTGCTTTTCATTTCCTGTATTGTTCCCTTGTAGTGTTTCCTCTGACGTCTTCTCAGCTAAGGAAGGTGTGTGTCTTTATGCTAATGAGTAAGGCTGCGCTAATAAACTGCGTCCTTTTTAAAAAAAAATTATTTTTTATGTGTGTACTGTCAAATCGGATCTGACTGGTACAGGAGGAGATTGTCCCTCCTTCTTCAGCAGAGCTTCTGGTGAAACTGCGTCTTTTATAACAAATTTAGTTTCTTTTAATACTATAATACTAAGTAGGTGCACGGACCAAGCCTTTGCAGTCTTTCCTCTATTGGATAACAGTGAACTGTCACGTGTTTTCTTAAGTAAAAAGTAGATCTGATTTTTTTTAATTTTTTTTTTTACTTTTAAATTAGTTTCGAGAGTTGGCGGGGGTAGGGGGGAGGGCTGGGCAGGGAGAAAAGTGCACCAATGAATGAATGGAAATAAAAAATCTGTAAATGTCCATTGAAATTATAAAAATAAAATCTAAAAAAAATAAGAAAGAAACAAGTTTCATCTTCTAGACTAGCTCAACATTTTCATGCAACTGAGAATTGTCTACCTCCTTATAGGGCAGTTTAGTTCCTTAAAGATTCTCAATCCAAACCTGAGCCCATTTCCCTGGAAATACCGACTCATGGAGACCCTGAGGGACATCCAGGGTTTACGAGGCTGTAATATTTTTTTAAGGTTTTATTATTTTTGTGTGTGTACCTTCAAATCGGATCTGACTGTTGTTATAGGAGGAGATTGTCCCTCCTTCTCCAGCAGAGCATCTGGTGGATACAAGGCTGTAATCTTTAGAAAAGCTGACTGTCACATCTTAAGAAAAGTAGATTTAAACCACTAAATTAAGGGCACTCTGGTGGCCTAGTGGCAAGAAGCAGCACTGCAATCCCAGAGTTGAGTGGTTCAAATCCACACACACAAAATAATAAAATTAAATTAAAAAAAAAAAATTTAAAAGACACTATATTAGCGGGCGTGTGTTTTAACCACTGTGCCACCAAGACCACTTCTTAAAAGATTACTGCAGGCGAGCTCTGGTGGCCTAGTGGCAAGAAGCTGCACTGCAATCCCAGAGGTACACAGTTCAAATTCATCAGGTGCTCTACTGGAAAAGGAGGGAAAATCTCCTCCTGTACCTGTCAGATCTAATTTGACGGTACACACACCCCCACAAAATAATAATAAAACAAAATTTAGAAAGATTACTGCATTGGAAGTTCATTTTTATATTACATTTTTTTCACTTTTATTTTGACGAAAATTTACAGAAAAGTTACTTTTTCATTACTTCATTGTTGCAAATTTTTATCTCCTCTCCCCCCCAGTTCACTTTTTAAAAAATATTCATTCATTGTTGCACAGTTACCTCCCTACCGCCCTCCTCCTAGTCGTCTTTGCAATGTACCTCTTCTTCTGGGCAGTTGTCATACATAAAATGCCTAATCATGTGTTTGTGGGTTTTTTTATGTGTTTCTTTTAAACAGTTATTTCCTTAATCTGTTCCAGTGCAATGTTCATTACCTATCCACTCTTTTTTATCTTATTCTTTGTGTGTATGTGTGTGTGTGTACTACCATCAAATCAGATCTGACTGGTACAGGAGGAGATTGCCCCTCCTTCTCCAGCAAAGCATCTGGAGTATCTGTCCACTCTTATACTATTTTCCTCCGAAATTCTCATGTCAGACCTGCTTTGTAACAGTGGTGTTATGCAGTATTTGTCCTTTTGTGACTGAGATATTTCACTCAGCATAATGTCCTACAGGGTCACCCATGTGTGAGATGTTTTATGAGTTCATTGTTTTTCAGTGCTGCATAATATTCCATTGTATGAACATACTGTAGTTTTTTCATGCATTCCTTTGTTGATGGGCACTTGGGTTGCTTCCATCTCTTTGCTATTGTAAATAATGCAGCAATAAACATGGCTATGCATATATCTGTTTGGATGGCAGTTATAGTTTCTTTAGGATATATTCCCAGAAGTGGCATTGCAGGGTCAAGTGGTATTTCTATTTCCAACTTTTTGAGAAAGCACCAAACCGCATTCCATAGTGGTTGCACTATGCACTGGAAATTCTTTGAGGTCTTTCTACACTGTCCTGTGAGGGGGTTTTTTTTGAGTCAGAATTAACTGGACAACAATGATTTGTTGTTCTTGGATCCTTAACTGTTTCTCATTGAAGATGTGAGACCTTAAACACAGATTAAGAAATAGTCTTGGGGAGCTCTGGTGGCCTAGTGGCAAGGAGTTGCAACTACAATCCCAGAGGCGAACGGTTCGAATCCACCAGATGCTCTGCCGGGTAAGGGGGGACAATCTCCTCCTGTACTAGTCAGATCTGATTTGATGGTACACACACACAAAAATAATAAAATTTTAAAAAAAAATAAATAGTCTTGCAGTCAATGAGCTGTTAAAAATGAAGATCTTTAAAAACCCACTGGCATTGAGTCAACTCCAATTTATAGTGACCTTCCATCCGAGGCTGTAAATTTTACAAAAACTACCCTTTCTCCCACCAAGAGTTAATGATTTCACACTGCCGACCTTTTGGTTAGCAGCCAGAAACTTTACAAACAATACTGCAAGGACTCTTTTTATCGTTATTGTTGTTGCTATGTGTGGTTGAGTCAGATAGTGACCTTTTGAAAAACAAATCTGAAACCTGTCATATCCTGAGCCAGCTTCTTCAACTCTGACACGCTTGAGCCCATTGCTGCGGTCACGGTGCTGTCCATCTTGTTGAGAGCCACCCTCTCTTTCACTGACCCTCTACCTTTCTAAGTACAATGTTCCCTTCCAAGGAATAGCAGCTCCTCCTAACAACATGCCCAAAGTATGAGAGATGAAGCTTCAAAATTCTAGCCTCCAAGGAGAAACTTGGTTTCACCCTTTCAGTACAAGGATCAAATCTAGCAGCAAAACAAAAAAAAAGGAATGAGAGAAAAGTAAATTTTCAAATTATAATTAGAAAGCTCAAAAGTGGGGAAAAAAAAGTAGTTACTCTCAGCCACAAAAATACACATTTTTAAAAATAAAGCTATTTAAATTCTCTACTGTCAGGTAAATGAGAGAACTCACATCCAAACCTTCAGGCTTCCCTAACTCTCCACTAGTTTTCAGAAAGCAATACCAACTTCAAGAATTTCCAGTCCCAATGGCCTATGACAAGATCACAGATTCAGCAGTTTCTGTGGGAAAAGATTGCCTTTTGAAACTTTCTCACTTTCCCCCTGAAATCTTCATGAGACATATCTACTTTGTGACAACAGTAGCATTTGCTTTTATCTTCCCCATCGAGAACTAGTAGAGGAAAGTGGTTACAACCTTACAACCGAAGGAGGCATTTTCTTCCCATCATCAGGCCGGATTTCTGTTTTCTTGATCTTGAGATATATAATCCATATTGAAGACAGGTTGTTGAGGCTTCCTCCAATTCTGATGCCACATTTCCTTCATAAAGTCCAGCTTCACGAATGATATGTTCAGCATATAGAATTAAAAGATTTGGAGAAAGAATACATCCTGACACATTCCTTTCTGATTTTGAACCGCAAAGTGTTTCCTTACTCTGATCATACAAAGTCATATCGTAGATTAGCCTGGGTCACCTCATACACCAGGACGGAAGTGGAACAACCTGAAGTCCAGTTCCTTCACAGTTTACAGATGACTTCTTGGTAAGGTGGTACACCAGCTTCTCGTAGGCAGAAAGTTGGGTAATCTCCGCCTGTAAAATCTGCTGGAGGGTCTTCTGCAATCAATAGTACTGTGGGTTTGATCTTGTTCCTATTTCCTTGTGCAGGATCTTGTCATATCCAACTGGCACAGGAGACTGCCCCTCCTTCTCCAGCAGAGCATCTGGTGGACTTGAACCTCGTACCTTCTGGATTGCAGCACAGCTTCTTGCCACTAGGCCACCAGAGCTCCCTAACAACTGTTAAAAAGGAGCATTTGTTGAGCAGAGTAAATCTGAGTTCAGTTTTTTCAACCTGACAAAATTGTATCTTTCAGC